GTGCTGTGTGTACATTAATGAGGGAAAAAAATTACTTAAATGATTATATCATATATACAGAGTATATATGTGTGTGTGTGTGTATATATTAAATATGTATGTGTTTGTTTGAAATGTTCAAGGTGAAAGAAAAATATATTACATGACATTTTAGAGTCATTAAATGCAATCTTCAAAACAATATTAAATCAACATTAAGGCAAAGTGTATATTAATAAGAACTTGACGGGTGTTTTTTACTAGATAACCAACCACCCTAGAAACCACTAACACAATGTGCTAAAATACCTCAGAACACATGAGCATCTTTGCAACAGCTTTAGCACAGACAAGCACCACTTATTTCAAATGTAAAAATCTAGATTACCACACAACATTATAACACTCTTATTTTATTTATGGCTCAAATAAAGAAGATAAAGCTGCTGTATATCTATAAAGTAATTACTGATGATGTCCCATTAAAAGAACGGAATGCAAATGGGTCCCATCCTGGCTCTTTGTTTATTCAAAGTTGGTTCATCTGGTCCACTTATCCGTTAAACGGCTGCTTAAAAGGCGCTAAAAGATGCTACAGCCAGTCATGCAGGGAGCTTGAGCGAACACAAGGCCGCTGTGAACCGTGTTTGTGTAATGAGCTCAACAGAGTGTGAAAGCCACAAGTGTCACCTTCTCCAGGCTGGCTGCAGACTGTCACGCTGGACGAGTGCTTGGTCACACCAAACAACCTATTATGTGTCAGACCGGATGCCCTTCAAACATGATAATGGCTTTTCATGCTTCTCATTACACCCTTTCTTTTTACACACTGGCAAACTGAAAACAAACGAGGACATATTTTGTGCTGGTTAACTGAACCTGAAATGGAAACGCTGCACTGTCATGTAACAGTGTGGCTAATTTTCTGGCAACACCAACTCGTCACATAACTTGGCGTCACTTTTTGACACTTAAGGGACCATTTTAGCATAATTTTTCGTCATGCAGGTCCTCCGTTGTTTTCAGTTGTTTGTCTTAATTTAATGGTTTACATGCATTTGTAAAAAATAGAAATAATGTTATATAAATTTATACTTTCATTGGAGCTCCTAACCCCACCCCTTCCCTAAACCTACCCACTTCTGAACAATAGAAAACACACAACAGGCAAATATACAGGTACATCTAAAAAAAAAAAATTTTATATCATGAAAAAGGTAAATATTTTTTGTCACTCATTTCAGAAAGTGAAACCTATATATTATATAGATTCATTACACAGAGTGAAATATTTCAAGCCTTTATTTCTTGAAATTTTGATGATTATGGCTTACAGATAATGAAAACCCCAAATTCAGTGTCTCAGAAAATTTGAATATTACATAAGATCAATACAAAAAAATGATATTTTAAACCGAAATGTCAGGCTTCTGAAAAGTATGTTCATTTCTATGCACTCAATACTTGGTTGGGCCTTCTTTTGCATGAATTACTGCATCAATGCGGCGTGGCATGGAGGCAATCAGCCTGTGGCACTGCTCAGGTGTAATGGAAGCCCAGGTTGCTTTGATAGCGGCCTTCAGGTCATCTGCATTGTTGGGTCTGGTGTCTCTCATCTTCCTCTTGACAATATACCATAGATTCTCTATGGGGTTCAGGTCA